CGACCGGGGTAAGTAATAGAGAATCGAAGAGATTTGCATCGTGGTTCCATGGTGTAATGGTTAGCACTCTGGACTCTGAATCCAGCGATCCGAGTTCAAATCTCGGTGGAACCTGTCAAGTAAATTTTTTTAAGATCATTCTGGATCCTATTTTATAGAGGGACAGGGAAAAAAAGGAAGAATTAAGAAAAATATATCTGAAAACTAAGATTAGGTTAAAGGCAAATATTCTTTCATTTTGATGGATAATAGTCGAAAAATCATGCTGAAATGCGGTCTTTTGAGTTAGGCTTTTTAAAAAAACAGGGAATAGTTTTCACTTTTATTGCTCAACAGAGGATTGCCAACCTGAGAAGAGCTTTACAAATGTAACAGCGAAGAACAATCCAGATTTCAAAGAGAAACGAGGAGGACGTGCTAATGGAGGACTTTTCCAAACATCTATTCGTCCAATGGTTCTATGGTGTAATGGTTAGCACTCTGGACTTTGAATCCAGCGATCCGAGTTCAAATCTCGGTAGAACCTGAGTTTGCAATGCAACCTTTCAAAGGGACTGTTTTGTTTTTAGATAAAAGTAATTTCTTGAGACTATGAAAATGTGCCTTTATTCGAAAAGATCTTTGCAATAAACGTACTAGCTTGTAAGGTTGCTTATTTGCTAGCCACCACTGACCCTTCCTAAATTAAAGACAAAATCAATTGCTTGGGTGCAAAACATATAAACTTTGAATTGCTATAGTTTATGAAAGACCCAGCTGAGAAATCTTGTTGTGACATTGACTCAGAAACTGTTTTCAGCAGACAAAAATCTGAAGGGTTTCCTCCAGACTTCTTGGCTGCTTGATTTTTACAGGACAAATAACTTTTTTCAGTGCTGTTCTAACTTCGGTCACTAAACAAACTGTTGTAAGTTGGGGATGATCTGTATGCCTTAACTCTGGGTCTGTGGGAGTGAGTGGGTGGCTGCTCTCACCATGCTAATCCTGAGGATGAAACCTGCGACAGGAAAGTAAGTGTGTATGTTATTAAGAGAGATTTGGAAACCTTCTGGTATAACTATAATTATGAGCAGGATTAGGGTGGATTTCTATTTTTTAAAAAAAACATGTTTTCTTTCTAAAACGTTTCTTTAATGCAAGGAGAAACATTCTCACTCTGCAAAAGTGATGACTGAGTAGAGACCACCCGGAAGGAGAGAAACTGGTCTCTGTAACTTTCCCTAGAGAGGCAATCCATTTATTTGAATTTAATTAAAGCTGCTGCATTTGGAAAGCCTGGCTAAGCTGCCTTTAAGTACCAAAATCTGGGCTAGTTACTTACTCATGGTACTTGCTTACTCATCAAGAGCACCACAAATATGCATTGTACCACCCAAAGGTTCTTTTAGTTCAGGGGTGTCCAACCTTGGGCAACTTTTAAGACTTATGAAATGCAACTCCCAAAATTCCCAGAATTTATTCCAGAATTAAATAGTGATTAAAACACCCGGTTGTGAGTTCAAGTTCAACCTTGGCCACGAAAACCAGCAGGCTGACCTTAGGCCTGTCACTCGTTCTTAGACCAACTCATCTCACAGGGTTGTTGTTGTGGGGAAAGTAGGAGAAAGATGCGTTGGACATGTTCGCTGCCTTCCACAAAGGTGCCATCGCAACAAATTAAGACAGTGGACCTAATGGATCCAATGCACAGTTGACAAATGATTAAGATTTCTATAACCTTGAACTTAAAAAATATTTTTTATGATGCAATGATCATGTAAGAAGCTCTCCCTTTATTAATCATATGGTGTAACAGATTTTGTAGTATTGTCCTACAACTCATATTTTGCACAGCCACAGCTCTAGCATATTGACATTTCATATGTGTGGCTTTTACTTTTTCATGTGTTGATATCTTTTTGAGATGCAAAATGGATGACACCATTCAGTTTTCCATCATGGAAAGACATCAATGTACTGCGAAGGAAACAAGCTTTGCTCAACATACTGTAGACCACTTCCTATCAGGAAAACACGGTTAGGAATTACTCTGTATTGTCTTTCATTGGATAGAGACCTTACAACGAGGACAAAAAGATCCAAGTAACTGCAGGAGGTGAGCAGTTTTTAAACACATCTGTTGCAGTGGTGGGATTCAATTTTTTTTTACTACTGGTTCTGTGGGCGTGGCTAGGTGGGTGTGGGAGGGGAAGGATAGTGTAAAATCTCCATTCCCACCCTACTCCAAGGAAAGGATACTGCAAAATCCCCATTCCTTCCCCACCCCACTAACCTGCTTTCCAGCTCCGTTCTCCTGTGCAAGGCAACAAAAGAAGACCCAGCCCATCAGCCCGGACTCAGGAGGCAAAGAATAGATGGGGGCGGGGCCAGTCAGAGGTGGTATTTGCCGGTTCTCCGAACTACTCAAAATTTCTGCTACCAGTTCTCCAGAACTGGTCAGAACCTGCTGAATACCACCTCTGATCTGTTGTTTCTGTGATGCCTCATTAACCTGAGCAGGGGCAAACCTGGGAAACTGTAGTACCACAGATGTGACATGCAACAAGAATTTGCTTGGTCAGTGACAGGACTTTTCCATAACTCTTGATTTACACTGAGAAGCTTCCATTTTAGGCACAAAAAAGGATTCCCCCCCGCCCCCACAACCGCAGCAAACATGGTATATGGGAACTTATGCTCAGAGTATTTTGAACACTGGACCTGTTTATTTAAAAATCTTTTACTGATATCCATATTTTCCAAAGCCTACCATGCACATAGATTACAAGCAGTTAAAATATGTATAACAAGTTAAATAATATAAAAGGGGCGGCATATCTTTGAAAATGGTCCAGAAGACCTGCTATGAATGAAGCACCTCTTCGCTATTCATTAAAGCAGCCTGTCTTTGTTCAGGTTTTTATATGAGTTTGCAAAAAAATGAATTAAACCAACTGACTATTAAAAGACACACAAAATTCTTGTCTTATGCATTAGTGATATGGCTACTTTAATGAAGATCAGAAATGGTGGATTTTCACACATTTCTTCTGGACTATTTCAGAGTGTATTTATGCATTTATTTATGTATTTAACATAAGATGTGGCCCACTTGTATATACAAACACATTAGAACAGAATAAAAAAGCCAGAATGGGGTGGGTGGGTGGAACCATCCAGGGTAACTCAATGAACTAATTAAAAATAAATTACATTGCCACCATATCTTGAAGGTATTAAAGTCTGTGCTTCTATGCTTTTGCCTTGCTTCAGAAATTTCGGCAACCTTGGTACATTCATCCAAAATTCCTTTTCAATTGCATAACCGATAAGTGTTGAAGGTATTCTTAGAAAAGGCCAGTATCTTTCACTCCCAGAAGAATGTTCTTGTGATAAAAAGGAATCTATGTGTGTAATATGTGGGCCCATCTTTGATACCTTAATGCTGATGGACTTGAACATCAAATGCTGTGAAAAAGTACCATAGCTTGAGAAAGTCCTTTTTTATTTTAATGTAGCACTATGCCTACACATACCTCGGCTATTTTAAATTCCTTTCCTCCATGCAGATAAATTTTAGTATGTATTTTTACTCTGGTATTCATTTTATGTTACTGTTTTCTTGTTACAAGGATATTATGAATACAGGCATGCCATTTTAGTCCAATTCATATGTATAGTACACAAAATGCACCTCTTCCCAATATCTTTATGCCAAAAAGCAAATCACTTTATAATTGCTTGATTTCCTGTGTCTCTTTCCTATTCAGCTAGTCCTGGGTAAAATTGTATGCTTTTGAACTGAGATACCATTGAACCATTAAACATATCTGAAGGTTACATCTTCACAACCTAAAAGTTGCAATATTCCTATTTTATGAATTTACAAACTGGCAATTTAAGAACATCCAAGAATTTGGGATTCCCAGCGAAATCACATCCAAGCTTATTCATGTTGAGGTAAGAATATCTAATGAAAAAGAAAACATGGGACAGGCCAAAGGCAGCAGAGTTTCAAAGGATCTGATAAAACAAAAGAACAACAGAACAGAAGAATCATCAATCTTTGTAGCATTTTTCTTCTTGAGCAGAGCATTCAAGGGGGTAATTATGTATGTTTGTTTGAGAGAGGTGATTCAGAATAGGGCAAAATGGATTCGCATTACAATTTTGGAGCATAACAACTGCTGATCATTCCTTTCAGTGAGCATGTACTTGAAAGCGCATCTCAGTATTGTATAGGCAGCTCTCAAAATATAAACCTATAATGTCTACTAAAAACAAATCTGGGCTTACTAGGACATCTCCCAGGGAGAGCAATCTTCTTGGTCAAGTGCTGCATGAACTTTGAAGGTGTAATATCACATGCTAATAAACAATATTTAATATTCAGCATATGATCCAGGGAAAGAAGTCCTATACTTGGTCTCCTTTGGAGCAATCCTGCTCCAAAGTGTTAATTTATCCCAATGACATTAGCAGTGTGATGCCGGGTAAAATGAATGTTCACATTTTGCCTGCTTGTGCAAAGAGTGACCAGTTGTGAATGGAACAGCCCACAAGTGATGAATAGAACTACAACCTTCACAACATATTAAGGCCTCTCTTCATATCTACCTTCTTTAGAGAGATTATCAGTGACTGATCTGTATGCACAAAATTTCCCAGAAAATCCTAAAAACAAATTAGCGTTTCTAGGGAGAAGTCACTGAACCATCTTTTCTTAAAACATCACTTAGAACTTCAGCATTAGGCAAGCTGACAAGAATTATATTACATCTTCTTAAATCAGGTGAGCCCTTTGTTTCAAATATTCTGGCTTTTATCATGTTTGCCTATTCTAGCTTGACCTTTGCCCAGGGATGGGATTCAGCCGGTATGGACCAGTTCAGGCGAAGCGGTAGTTCCAGAGATCAGTTGGCCCCGCCTGCCCACCCCTGCCCTAGTCTTATCCTTTAGTTCCTTCTTTTGAAGCCCAGCTGATTCGCACGGCACAGCGCCTCAGCTGTTTTACTCACCAGGGCTGCAGCAGAAGGCAAGTTTTAGCTGAAAATTGCTGTTTTTTAAAACGCTACGTGCGCTTACCGAACTGGTTGTTACACTGGTTGAATCCCACCACTGCCTTTGCCCATTTGATTGAATGATCGTATCTGTACTTACAGTACTCTTTGACTATTCAGGATTCCCCAATTCACCTAGCTTTGTTGCTGATGATACAGATCTCCCAAATATAGTTCTGAACCTCAAGGATTTTACCAGGTTTGTCTTAAGACACCAGGATCCCAATATTCTCAAGAAGAAATCAATGCCAGTAAGGAGCAAAGGCCCCTGTTCTCAGGGGAGTTGAAGAAGCTACATAAAGCTGACCAAATGAACATTCATTTCTAGCAGAGGTCAATGTTCCTACTGTTCTCTCAGACTTGCGTAAACTCATTCTTTTTGCCATAATTAAGAAAATAGGCCTGACTTTGTAGACACCACATTAGTAGTAGGCAGGTTTTTAAATTATATTTTGGAATCTATATTTAGTAATAATATGAAGTCTTAAGTAAATGACAAACTTTAACCTGACATCATTCTGAGCACATTCATGGTATTAGATTCTTAGCACACAGGCCTCGAGTTCCGAAGGGGTCAGCATTGAAGCATTTTGTAGCAGGCCCTGATTTTCTTTCCAATACACCTTAACTGTATATGGATGATTGGGCGAGAGTTCTGATTAAATAAAGATGCACCACATTTACACTGAGACCAGCTGCATTTTGACTCTGCACAACCCCAAATGAGGAAACAAGTGCAGTTCCAGTTCTGAGCATGCTTTTTTTCATGGTTGTGCCTCCGATTTCAGTTGCATAGCATAGTTGTGACAGTGCTGCAGGTCCATCAACCCTGACGCATGTCTTATAATCGGATTGGTCACCATTTGATGTCATAACTGTTGACAGCTGGTTTTTCCATGTTGTATTTAGTATGCAAAGATTCCTGGGCTTTGTTGGACTCCGTCCCTTCTAGCCATTCCTGATAAAGCTTCTGCACATGCCCGTTGGTTTCAGGAATCTGAACAGGAACTGTGGCATATACATCCTCCATCTGCTTGAGAAGGGCTTTATCTGGTTTTCCGTCTTCAGTCTGGGCCTGGCCATTCCCATTTAAACAACCTACACACCAATGAGCAAAACAAGAGGAGAAATTGGTTTACTTAAAAACACTGAGTGGGTTTATCCCAGGGGTGGGATTCAATTTTTTTAACAACTGGTTCTGTGGGCGTGGTTTAGTTGGGCGTGGCTTGGTGGTCATGTGACTGGCCAGGCGTGGCCAACTCAACATCACTCACATTGAGGCATGCATCCCCTCGCCTGGCCTCTCATGACTGTGGGGATGCTGCAACAGTCGTAAGTGTGAAAAATGGTCATAAGTCACTTTTTTCAGTGCCATTGTAACTTTGAATGGTCACTCCACACAAGCAAAGTACCAGCAAAGGAGGGGGAAAAAACTCCAGAGAAGTTCCTGATGTAGGAAGTCTAGTCCTGCCAAGAATGTAATAAGGGTTAATGGAGGCAGTTTCTGTAAGCAACACCAGAATGTTTCCTTCCTGCCTTCCTTACAGGATTAGGCCAGTAATTTCTTCTAACAACCGGTTCTCCGAACTGCTTCGAATGTTAACAACCGGTTCTTGCGAATAAGTGTGAACCTGTAGAATCCCACCCCTGGTTTATCCACCATGTTTCTGTATAGCCTATTTTCATGTGATCATTACATCTCCATATTCATTTACCCTGCCTCTGACATCCCCATATGTTCACATAAATATCATGGACAAATACAGCTTCGCTATCTAAAATCTGCTACATGCAATTTCAGACAGTGCTGTCTTAACTAGAGTCAGCATTAGCATCAGCAACATTAAAGAGTTTAATTAGTGTACAGCATGTGTGCAGATTTTTAAAAACTATATAGGGAGATGCAGAAATCTTAGGTTTGGTGATTACCTCCAGGACAGGCTAAAACTTCAACAAAGTGGTAGGAACATTTCCCCTTTTTCAACTTCAGAATCATATTTTGGATATTTCGAAAGCCATAGGCCGCTGCAAAACGTAGCACTGTCTCGCCATCCTTTTCTAGGGTAACCTCCTGAAAGTCTTTGTTTCTGAAAAAACAGGGGAAAAACATTTCTGGTTGTTCCCAAACAAAGCAAGCAAGCAAGCGAAGGAATATGGTTAAGAGTTCCTATTTCGGCCTCTATATCTGATGGCCACAAATGCTTTCTACTAATTCTATCTGCTGCCACCTTTTGTTGCTTGTTTTTGGAAGGAATATGATCACTCTCTTCAAACTGTTTCAATATTTTTTCTGAAAGTGATTGCAAATGTAATGAATTTATACATATATGGTATAGGGGTTTGTGTGTGTTTTGATTTAGGACTAAATACTGATGACATGTGCCCTCAGTAGCTCCCCTATGCCTTAGTACTCAGCAGGTAAAACAATGAGTAGTTTCTCTCTGTAAAAAAAAAAAAAGGGGGGGGGGGAATGCTGGCAGCATGATGATACCAATTCTTTATTGTCTGGCCCTGCATTGGTTCTTCATGTTCTTTTCAACTTAATCTAACATGCTGTTTTTATACTTTCTTATATAAATGAATTTTTCTACTATTTCCCCCGCCCCAAAATAATTTTTGACTGAGGTTTTGTTATGACTGATTTTACTATGATTACTTTTATTTTTATCAATCTAGTCTTCATGAAAAAAAAGGCTAATAATTGACCTTACAGACTTTAGGTCTTGAACTTTTATAGCAAAGGACAGTCTTTGCCTTTCCAATTCACAATAATTTTAGTCTGCAGGCAAAGTGGCCAGGCTCTGAAGGTACAGAAAGTGGCCTTGTGAACAGATTTCCCCTTTGGAATTCTTGTACCTAAAATCAATTTCAAATCAAGGGGCACAGCCTTCCAAAGCTTATCAAATTTCTTAAACGCTGATTTAACAAAAAAAAACACAGAAATAAACAATGACTGTTAAGCAATTGCATGCTTTACGTACAGTGTTTTAGAAACAATCTAATGCTGACCCATGAAGTGAAGGCTTGCATACGAAACAAATATGTAAATAAGGTTGGATCAAGGCCTTAAGTAAATACCATTGCCAACAAAGTAGCCTATAGCTTTCATAAAGCTGCACTGCATTAGCTGTGCTGTCTTTCCAAAGATGTTCTGAAGATTGCGCCGCTTTACAGGCAGAGCTCAGTTTTACAAAAGCTCAGGAGTCCTGTGTAGAAAAAGTTTGCCAGAGAAACTGGGTCCAAAAAGGAGACAGCAAAGAGAGTGACGCTTTCCTGCGTTGGCTGTGGCAGTTAGATGCAAAAGGCAAAAATTGGCATGGGGAACTGGGAGAGAAGGCAGCTGGGTGAATGAATGCTTGCTGGGGCTTACTGGATGGCTTGAAGTTTCCTGGGGTGTGGTAACCAGCCCCAGAACCATCAAGTTCTGGGGCTGCTGGTCATCCTGCAAGAGGATGCAGGGTGGTTAAAAGGGAGCAGATACATGGGCGAGATAGGGAGGGTGGAGGAAGCTGGAAACAGTTCCTTAACTTACTGAGGCTCACAACAGAGAGCGACCGAGCCCAGAAAGGCCTGAAGTGAACATGATTCTCAGTTAATGACCACAACAGGGAATGAATGCTGAAATTGGCGTAGTCACACGACATCTTGCTTTGTGATCACACTGACTTACAATGGCCATCCTGCTCCCGATTGTTATAAGTTGAGAGCTACCTGTACACCTGGTTTAAAAAGCAGCTATTTTCTCTTTCTGCTTAACTTTTAGTTAAGCAACTTACTTTAACGTTTTGTAGGTGAGCTCCTTCACTTCTGTGTTGAATAGCTCCTTGGCAGCGTGTTTAAAGATGTGCTCTAGGTAACCATCTGATCTTCCATCATGCCGATTTAACTCTTCTTCTATGCCACCAAACCTGTTAAGCAATAAGGGGAGAGTCAAGAAGTGGAAAACCAGGGTCACTTTGTATAAGCGGCAACCTTGACCCCTTAAACGTTCCTGACTATGCTATCATTCCCAGGCAAAAGGCTGATGCTGGCTAAGAGTTATGTGAGCTGTAGTGCAGCATATCTAGATTGGGGAAGGATGCACTGTGGACTTTAGTACATATTTGTGCATAAACTGTTGTGATATGCTACCTAATCAGAAAAAGGTTTTCCCTTGTCCAGTTGTATGGGGTGATACTCATCTCCATTTCCTAGCCAAGGGAGCCAGTGTTGTCTGAAGATCCTTTCCATGGCCATGTGGCCAGCATGATTATATGCCGAGGCACACAGAACACTATTACTTTTCCACTGAGATGGTACCTACTTATCTACTTGCATATGCCTGCTTTTTAACTGCTAGGTGGGCAGGAACTGGGGCAAATAACAGGCGCTCACCCTGTTGCAGGGCACTCGGATTCTCAAAGACAGGCTGTCAGCTTTCCAGCTGGCAAGCTCAGTGTCTTTATCTGCTGAGCCATTGCACCCTCACTTAACACAGTAAGGGAATCAAAAACTTCTGCCACCCATAGTCATATTATGTCACCCAGTCATATTACGTGGATATCTGCATTTCTGTAGCTCTTGGATTGGAGTAAGCAATTGTCATATGTGCATGACAAATCCTAGTTTGGAAGAACAGCATACAAATGTTCAAAATAATGAATCAGATCACTGCAGCTGTGAATGGTGTTTGTGATTTATTTTGCAACCATTTGATCTTGTAAGCATGTCTTTTCTTCCCTAGTTGTTTGGTTTCCTGTAGATTAAATGACATGTTTGTCCTACAATATTTGTAGACAAATATTGCTAAAAACAGTGATTCTAATAAAATGGGTAACAACTGCTCTTTCAGAAGACAAACAGCTAGAAATGGCATTTTTAAAACACTTAAGTATTGCTTTACAATATAAGAATTATATTATATAACATCTAAAAGACTTCCACCATAATATAATTCTTAGATTTTAAAGCAATACTTGAGCGCTTTAAAAATGCCACTCCTGGCAATTTATCTTTTGAAAGAGCAGTTGTTATTGCTTCTAAATGATACAATGTTCGACAGTGTGGAGGCTTCCCACTTAATGTACTATGATAAACATTCCATGCTTCTATAGCAAGTGCATCTCAGGACAGGCATATAGGCCTTTGTGTCAACCCCACAAAGCAAAGCTTATGTGTCCCAGTACTGCCGGCTAGGCATGCCATTCCATCATCTCTGCAAATAGCACAACAATAACTCTTGCTTCTGCACTACAATTGAGAGCATATGGTAATGTTACTTGTCAGGGGTTGTAGACGCTCACATTAGCAGAAGTCAACCTATCTGGCAACACCAACATTTCACTTGGATGGTAGCTGCTGAACTCCCATCTGGCTCATGTCATCTACTCATATGTTGGAGGGAAGGGAGGGAAGGGAGGGAGGGAGGAGCTGCTGGCTGCTTCATTGTTTTCTTCTTGTATTTGCCGGTAAATAAGATGAAGGGAACAAAGAAGCTGGCTGATACTTTGGTTCTGCAATGGAGAGCTACAGGACAGCCAGCAAGAAAAGTGATGGGGATGGGGGCCAGGCCAGTCCATTTACCCAAACATAACCAGGATCTCTGGATACATAAATAATTTTTACAAGAATGGCATGCTGAAACAAACCAATTTTTAACATCACTTTATGTAGTATAATGTGAAGGCCATAATAATTCGTATTTGTGCTTCTGAAATGCTTTCATCTGATAGAAATGCATAAGGTGATTGTTCTTAGAGAAATCATGAAACAAAAGGCTTGCCAAAGCTACTTACAGGGTATCAAAGGGCACCTCATTTATTTCTTTCAATATTTTTCTTTGCTCCATCATTTGGAAGACTTCACCTGTATGGAAAAAAAAAACTTCCTTAAATATGTAACAAGGTTACTAAACACGAATTCTCAAGATAAATCTTTTCTTTTTCTAGAACAGTTTTTTTTAACTCTCCAATCTGGAAAACAGCTTTCAGGCTCCCTGGAGGGCTTCCATCCAAATATCAGCTAAGTCTGAACTTAGTTGGCTTCTAACTGGTTCTTCCGTCAGGTGAGGTAGCCAAACACATTGTTGTTGTCACTCTGAAACTAAAAATTATGATCTCCTAACTCCGAATAACAAATGGAGATTTATTAGTACTCAAGGGCAATAAAGGTATTTTGGCATTTGAGATAAAAAGTATACAAGAGCTCCGCATTTGTTAAAATCAGAAAAAGAATAAAGTACGTTGGAAACCTTACATGCCCATGGACATTCCACATTCTCCCCAATGACAGTGCTGAAGAAACATGACAATCGTCTCAATCACAGCTTACTTCACAGTGATACATTTGTCACAGCCATTCTCAGTTTGGGGTCATGGAAAAGTGGCCCATGAAGATTCTAGGAAGTTAAGTTCCCGGGGGAGAGTGATAGGATGGGAGAGCAAATTCAGCATCTGTGTATCCTTTTGGTATTACAAGTTCATTCCCCCATTGTCTGTTTTATATATACATATAATCAGGGAAAATCTTACCAGAAATATTTCCTGTCACCATATATGTCCAGCAGACACCAAAATAATACAATGTAATATCAAAGATGAAAAATATGACTGTTAATCACAATCTTTCAAAATGTAAACTACCCCGGCTGTCAATCCTTCTCCTCTTCTCTTAAAATACCCAATCATATCGATCCAGCCAACCTGTTACATGACTGTAGGTCCTTGTACAGTGTCCGTGTTAAAATAAATTTGAATAAAAGGCAATGCAGTATATTGTAAAGAAGATATTACCTGATGTTAAAACGCAATCTACTTCTTGAGAGTTATACAAATGGGTATAAAAGTCTTCCCGTAATGCTTCTAACTTTTTGTCATTGCAAGGGGCCACTACGACATGGAAAATTTTATCAGGGGATAGATTCTGATGGAAAAAGAGAAAAAAAAGAAAATACACTTACACACACATACATACATACACAGAGCAACATTTTTTCAGAATGCGTTTCTTACAGAATTTGGATTTGTACACATCTTGATGCTCTTGAGCTTGACTGCTTACAGATGTTTCATGGCCTAATTAGACAATATTATCAGTCTGCACTGATGATGTTACCTAGTCGGGTCATGAAACATCGGCAAACAAAATAACTGAGCTCAGAGAGCACCAAGCAGTCCACAGTTCAATCTTGAGCTACATATATTCTCTTCTATTGGAATCTGGATTTTGTTAAATTGGAAATTAGACTCCCTTAATCTATTCTGGTTGGTCTACACATATTTTTTTCCTGTGCTCAATCTATAGCTTGCTTGAAGAATCATCTAATTTTGAAGTGGCAGAGTATATATGGAAAAGTAAATAAATGAAATCTCTTCCTGCAGTGGCTGGTGTACTGGACTGCAGCCTTTGTGATCCAGAACAATTTGTGATTCTACTTTTAGGCATTTATTAAATTTATATGCCACCCATTCCCCAATAAAGCAGTTTACAGATCATAAAGTTTTATTATTGTTGTGAACCGTCTAGAGCTGTGCCCTGTGATAGAAGGTTATTTAAATCTTGTAAATAAATAATAGCAATCTAAATCCTGTTCTAAATTGAAGGGCGATGAGGAAGGGTCATCAAGGGAGATGTCTCTTTGCCCTGTGGTCCAAACCTTGGCCTTACGGGATTTAATGTTAATTGTCTGGGCACTACCAGGTCGACTTTATAGTACAATATAGCAATAGCATTTAGACTTATATACAACTTCACAGTGCTTTATAGCCTTCTCTAAGCAGATTACAGAGTTAGTATATTGCCCCCAACAATCTGAGTCCTCATTTTGTCACCCTTGGAAGGGTGGAAGGCTGAGTCAAGCTTGAGCTGCTCAGGATCAAACTCCTGGCTGTGGGCAGAGTCAGCATACAATATTGCATTCTAACCACTCCACCACCAGGATTCTTTATATATAGGTCTTTGCTTATATGGGATGTAGGGATTCTGGAATGCTGGCACCAAAATCTTCCAAGCAGCCAAAATAGAGCAGATAAGTAACTCACACTCAAAACAGTGAATAAACTTACTGTGCTGCCCTTTATTAGGAAGATTTCACATGCATGATCTAAAATTTCACTTAACGTCAAGATGACTTAATAGCAAGGGATGAGTGCTACCAGAAGCCCACTTGCTCAGGAGTACAAGCTGATGTTACAGAAGGATTCCAGGTTGGCTGAAAGCTTTTCAAACGCTCATATTTACCAGACTCTAACTGTGCTAAATGGATAAACCCATTTGTAAAATGATCCCAGGAATGAGCATCTAAGACCAGAATGAGAAAAAAGACATTTTTCTCTCAAAACTGATTGAAAATCAGAAACTGCAAACCCATACCTGCTGCCTGGCAAAATAATTCTTCACAAGAGAACCCATGATCTGTTGTGGTGACTTTGCAGTGCAAATATGTGGGATTACCATGCTGGGCAGGACTCTCTCTGCATATTGGATCCAGCCTAGAAGGAAGGCACAAACAAAATTAGTAAAAGAGGATCTGAAGTGGGTGGAATATTCATAACCAAAGAAGTTAAAATTAAATTAAATTAAAAAGACAAACCCAAAGCCATCTTTTAAAAATACTTGTATCACTATGATGATGAATAAAGAAATTGTTCAGCAAGCCATGTGGATGTAGTTAGTTTTGTTCTCTGAAAATCTCAACATCAGATTACCGAGGGATCATCAGGCTGTAGACAGAATGAATTTGGGGAAATTTTCAAGACTTGGATTGTTACATGAGAATTGGACTAATGTGTTTGCTCCAGGAACAATCAGCTATAGAAATGATGAATGCCAGATCCATAGGAAAACATTACATTTTACATTTGCAATATTACTTCCAGGCTTGATGTTTAGAAAAATCCAAATTATTGCCATAGGTTTTCAGCAAAGATACTTTCTTCCTCTTCAATGTCAGTAATTAGCATCCTGCAGTTCCTGAAATTATAGGGCAGAGAGTACCAAGCTAGGTGCCTGGATTTAGCAGCCTCAACTATACAAGGCCACACACAAAGCTATGCATGTATAAGAAAGGAAAATAGGCAGAAGGCAGGCTGTCGCTATCAGTGAGGTTATCGTCTTTTGCTTTTGCAATACCAAATGTTTTCTGCAAATATTTCAGGGCTGCAAGAACATTTTCAAGACATACAATAATATTTCCCAGAAATGTGATTTTTCAATTTTTTTTCAAGTCTTTTTATCTGAAACTTCTGCAACACATTTTTAGATTCCTTTTTCTCTTTCTACATAATACTATCCATTTAGGGCAGGGCTGTCAAACTCACGGCCCGCGGGCCAGATGTATCACATGCCAGCTACTCCCACACCCGGTTTAGCTCAGGGGGGAAAGGTCACAATACATCACATGACAACACCGTGACAAGTCTGACGATCTAGTTTGACACCTCTGATTTTGGGACTATATAATGAAATAACGTGATGATACTATGTTTCCAATCACATTTGACTACCTTATTACTTCACAGGGAGCAAAGGAAAGCATGAACCTCATAAAGAGAAGGAAAGTGAAGGAAAAGTATGAACCTCATAAGAACTGGATTGGAACTCGCTGCCTTACCACCTTGAACTATGATAATATCAATGAAACAGAATCTGGGCATTTGATGTTAAATATATCTTAACATTTGTTTGATTCAATTTTTTTTAATGAAAAACCTATTGTTTTAATTGCAATTGCAGTATTTAATTTTAGATTGCTTTAAGGTTTCTTTTAATGAGAAATTGTTTTGAATAAGCAATAGCATAAACAGCTGCCAAAATTCTAAATTAGTCAAGCAAATCTTTGACCTGAAAAGTCCCAGAAAGGGTCTGTGTTAGGTTCTCTTTAACATTAAGAATAACATTTTGTCTTTTGCAATAGCAATCATTATTTTCCCCATAATGTTCTAGATTTAGAATGCTGGTATGAAGGATCATATTTTAACAATTCTTTTTTTAAAAGGAGGGGGGCGGGGGGGGGCAAAAGCAACAAATTACGAGAGGGACAAGTATTCTCCACTGCACTGAATGGCCTTCCACTTAGAATTCCAGTTAGGGTAAGACATGTAGGAAAAACTATATTGTAGACTGGCTTAGTTTCCAGGAAGCAAAATTTCAATTGACTTTTTTCCCCCAGTCATCACAACCAAATAAGATTCTTAGTGGATGTCATTCTTTCTTCAGTTAAGGCTCTCCTTAAGATTCAGGTCAGAAGAAGCCACAAATATACTTTCAATCTATCTGGAAAAACAAATGTAATTTTATTATTCCCTATTTGCAAATCTTCTTAGTTTCCTTCTGAAAGTCTAGGCAAGCCACAGCAGCTGGCTGACCCTTCTGTTCAACTTATCTGAGCGTGCACTTGCTTTTTCTTATCCTCTCTTGTCTTTTGTGGCTTCACCCCCCTCATATCTACACATACATGAATTCCTGGTCCTTTCACATTTGCAGATAGAACGCTTCTAGCAGAGTGTGAAAAAAATGTATTATGTATAATGACTTTGTTGTAATACACTGGTACTCTTTTGAAACACATATATGTAAACAAAATATAATGTGTAATGCAGCAGTGGCTCCCTGAAACAAAGATGGTGATCCCAAAAATCATTTATAATAATTCATCTCATCAAAGGAGAGCTTCCAGAGTCTTATAATTTCCAAGTCTTATATAACTTCTGATCAAACAAGTCTCAGCAAAGTTTAATGAGCTGAGTCGAGAACCAGCTTATAGCATGAGTCACTCTGTAAATTAAGTGATCTCCAAGTATCTGTTTTGATAAGAAGAAAAGCAGAGTTCAGAATATTGCAATTTCATACCTTTGCCATTGCATGATCACACAGACTGCCTTGGTGTATAAGAAGCAGGCTCCAGCAGGTATTTATCTTTATTGAAACAAGCACCCAGATGCAGGCTTTTTCTGCAGAGTCACCTCCAAGGCAGAACTCCAAAAATAGGGTTATAGAAAAGCTGAAGACCCAGAGCACTTCCTGGTTACTGTACTCTGCTGCTCAAAGTCAATGTTTGCCATTCACAACCAGATATCCTGTGCGCTTTCAACCAAAGCTGCCATTCTTTCTAGCCAGAACTGTGCCTCAGTCCAATTGGAGTGGAGAAGAGTTGGCTGAGAAAGTGATGAGGACTTCCAGCGCTAACTTAAGAGTGGAAGAGGAGGAAAAAAGAGGCCTGGCATAGAGACTTCAGCTATTCTGGTAACAGTCTTACAGCTAAGGTGCAAAATTCAGGTGAAACCTCTGCTGGACAAACTGATAACAATCACAATTTGATTCTGTAGTGTCAAAAAAGTTGAATGTTTCAAGCAAATGTTTTACATACTGTATATCCAGTTGAAATTGGAAGAGGCTTTGCAGTAGTAATGCCTGAAGCATTCGTTTTCACCCGTTCCAACCTTAGCAACTATTTATTTAATTGCCAGCCAAAATGTAAGGTAGAATGCTAATTGTATTTTGCAACTAATTGCATGTGATGGTTGTTCTTTCTATACAGTTGGCCACCCAGTCTTTCTAGCATTGTGTGGCCCTATAAATTTCTATATTAAAATAACAACAAAATGTGGAATGGTCTATGAATTTAAGTGTTATTGCCATATATATCTCATAAAATTGTTTGGCCCTCTTTGATCATTTTTGTCCATTCTGTCTTGGCTCCAAATTTACCTAGAATTTAGATAGAATGGATATATGAATAGAATGTTTTAAAGTCCCTTCCTTCCTTCCTTCCTTCCTTCCTTCCTTCCTTCCTTCCTTCCTTCCTTCCTTCCTTCCTTCCTTTCCTTTCCTTTCCTTTCCTTTCCTTTCCTTTCCTTTCCTTT